CTGGGTGATGCCTCCTTGGCGTCGCCCCAGTATTTCAGCCACTCGTCGTGCATAGCGTGCACTGCCGCGTCTCCCTGGAGCAGCCAGCCCTCTGGGGCAATGGGGCCCCGCACTTGGGCTGACCCTTCAAGAATCGGTGCGCGCGGCGGCCGCCTGATTTGACGGCAGCCTGAGCCCACTCGCGCCACTCCTGGAGCTGATGCTTGGCCGCCGCCTGAGGCGCTTCCAACACTGCAGCGCGCGCGTTGGAGGCGAGCTTCTCCAGGTCTTGTCCTCCAGCCACCACCGTGGTACGTAGCTCGTGCAGGTCGAACTCGATCGACGATGCACCTGTGAGCTCCGAGAGGTCGAGGTGGTCCAGCTCGTCCAGCAACGCCTGGCGAGAGTAGGCGGTAGTCCAACGCCTGCGCATTGCCGCAGCCCGTGGCTGCGGCGACGTGGTGTGCACAACTGCACTGTCCGCACACTCCTGTCGATGCGCCTCGGCCGTGGTGGGCTCTGAGAGCGATGGCCAGGCTGCGCTCGACAGCGGTGGCGGCCCCGTGCACGGTGACGTGTAGCCAGGCAGGACGAAGCCCAAGGAGGTGAGCGAGACCTCCTGCACCACGTCCGCCTGGCCCCTGACGTCTTGGGTGCGGTCCTGGAGACCGCGGAGCTTGGACAAGATGGCGTCGAGTGCTCTCCAGGCTCGCATCTGGCCACCACTGCCAGACATGGCAGCCTTCTCCATGGACGTGGCCAGCGGCACCTGCTTCCGCTCGAAGCCGTCAGCCCTGCCTGTGTAGCCCCGCTCCCCAGCTCCCGTCAGGTCGAACTGGTTGCAGCGCCCCTGCTCCATGTTGGAGAGCCGTTGGCCCCAGGCCCCTTCCAACAGCATGCCCCCTGGGTCTCCAGCAGGCCAAGACCAGGCATGTTCGGCAGGCTCACGGAGTGGGCCTATCCGCAAGACTGTAGGGGACGGCTTCCATGTCGTGCGGACGTGGGTCGGGGCATTGAGCGCGGGTCCCTTGGGCTGCAGCGAAACGGCGACATGCGGCGGCGAAGGCGTGCCATAGATCGTTCTGACATCGCTGACGAAACTGGCCAGGTCCTGGCTCACCACGAAGTAGTTGATGGTGGAACCATCCTTGGAGGAGAAACAGGTTGGCCCCGACGGGGCCACGATCGTCCCCTTGAGCAGCTCTACCCACTTGCACAACTTCACATCATTGGGCGCCAGGTTGAAATCCCCAGCCAGAACCCACGGAGACCTCGAGCGCCGCAGGAAGACCCCGAGCTGCTCTAGCATCTCCCAAGTGAAGCACCTGTCTCTGACGTTGACGAAGCCGTAGACCGAGGCCAACAGGAGCCCACGAGGGAAAGCCATGTTGCCACGGATGACCTTGACCCTGGCGTAGTCCCTGACCCCAGTGTGGCGCGACCCAAGCCCAGTGAAGGCGATGTGCAACGATACTGCAGTCAGTGCGCCTCCCGAACTCTCAGTGGCCTGCTCACCTGTGGGTCGAGCCCGTCCACAAGCTCCGTGATACCCTCTAGCACCGAGCCAGCCAGCAGCATTGCGTACCTTGTCCAGGTCCTTGATGCGATGCCCCTGGGCGAAGCAGACATGAGGCCGAGCCTGGGCACCCCAGCTTCTCTGCCAGTCGAGCGCACTCTGCCACGAACTCCAGGCGTTGGCATTGAGCGACCAGAGGCGCCACACTTGCTGCTCACGTGGTGCCCGTCGCGCTGTACTTGTGGTGCTCGAGACCCAGCCCGCGACGGCTGCTCGCAATCTACTCGTGATGGGGCCAGGCTCGAGGAGCACCTGACCCCAGCTTTCTGGCAACTTACTACCTCATGCAAAGGCTCATGATTCACTTCGGCAGACTGCTCGCAATCTACTCTAATGAGGCCAGGCTCGAGGAGCACCTGGCCTCGCGTTCTGACATCGCTTTTCTTACTGGGTGCAGCAAAAGGTTTGGACGAGACGGCCTCCGCTGACTGCGAAGGCCGATCGCAATCTACTCCAGAGGCCGCCAGGCTCGAGGAGCACCTGACGGCCGCGTTCTGACGCCTCCAAGTCTCAGCACAGGTGGAAACCGACGGAGGCAAGCCAGACGCAGACGGTCCTCTGGCCGAAATCCTCGTGCAGGAGGGCCCCGTAGGCGAGGAGGGCTCCGCCGATCCCGTCGTGGCAATCGACCTCCGCTCTGCTGTGAGCGAGACTCCGCCGATGCCGCACGTCTCCGAGGGAGCCCTAGCCACAAGGGCTGGCCGCCAGGGGTCTCTCGCCCACAGTGGGTATCGGAGCCTTCGGCTCGCTGCGCTGCCCCTCCAGCGAGCCCTCGCGTGGCGGGGGCTCCGCTTTCTCAGGGGACGAGCGTGCGTCACCTGAAGACCTGGCCACCGGCCTCGACCCACGCGAAGCCGTAGCCCCTGCGCCGTCACCCTCTTCGAGGGTCCTCTTGACCCAGGGGCGGCGTCATCCATAGCCCAGCGCTCCGCATCCGTCTTCTCTGGTCGGGCCGCAGGCACAGCAAAGCCCAAGCTGGGCCACTCGAGGTCAATCACGCCCTGCTGCCAGAAGAGGAGGTCCAGTGGGATGGCGGGGCTACCCCAGCTTGGGCCTCTTGGCGAGCGAACCAAGGCTCTCCAGCAGGCGCTGGAACTTGCCGTCGTCGTCCGATCCGACCTCGAACCCCGCGGCGACGAAGGCCTCACGCAGCTCCTCGTCTCCTGGATCGAACTGTGGCGTCCCAGGGGCCACCGCGGCTGCAGCGGCAGGTCCACCAGCGCCACCAGGAGCCCCAACAGGCCCAGGAGGACCCCCCCGCAGCAGGAGGATCCGCGTCCATGGGCTTGGGGATCTGGGACACGAGCTCCACCCGCTTGGCGGCGGCCTGCGCGAGGACGGTGTCTGCTTGGAAGCCGAATCTGCCCCCGTATTTGCGCAGGCACTGCTCCATGATGTCCAGCATGGCCAGCTCGTGGGAAGGGTCCACGGCGGTGCCCTCAGCTGGGGCCTCAGGCAAGACATTCTTTGCCTGAGCATGCTTGATGTGGGCCTCCAGCTCCGCCAAACTCTCGCGATGCTTGGCCAGCTGGTCGTTCTCCGAGTCGAAGGCTGCGCGCTTGCCCCAGGGCAACCCTGGCTGCCTCCACGCGGTTCTGGGAGCCCTCGATCTGCTTATCTTCCGTTGCTTGCGCTGCAGAAGGTCCTGAAGCCTCTTAGACCCCAGGTCCACAGGCTGCACCTCCTCCGCCTTCTTGAGCACCGACTCCAGATCCGCGGAGAGCTGGCTGCCCTTGGCCACGCCCTTCGCCTGCAGCACCTCCACCAGCTGAGTGACTGAGAGCGCGCTGGGGTCGGCGGCAGGTGCCCCTCCCTTGCCTCCGAGCTTCGGCGGGCCCTGGAGCCAGCGGTTGGGGCCTGACTTGGGCCCGCCGCCGCCGCTCTGCATCTGTTGCGCCTGCTTCTTTTGAGCTTGCAGAATGGCTGCAGGCGCGCGGTCTCCACATTCACGGCACTGCGACCTGAAGTGGAAGTTGAGGAAACCGCATCCACGACATTCCCAGGATTTCTTCTGAGTCCGCCATGGCGCGTCATCTTTGGTCATGAAGATAGGTTCCGACCAGCTGCGCCACTTCCAAGTGCGCTGGTCGAAAGGTCGTCGAAAGCACAAAGCTCGAAACCTGGAAATGGCTGGAGCTGGAGGAGGAGGAGGAGGAGGAGGAGGAGGAGGAGGAGGAGGAGGAGGAGGAGGAGGAGGAGGCGGGGAGGAGGAGGAGGAGGAGGAGGCGGAGGAGCAGAGGGAGAGGAGGAGGAGGAGGAGGGAGGAGGAGGAGAGGGAGGAGGAGGAGGAGGAGGAGGGGGAGGAGGGAGGAGGAGGAGGAGGAGGAGGGGAGGGAGGAGGAGGAGGAGGAGGAGAGAAGGATCGGAGGAAGGATCGCTTAGCGATGTCGTCCCACTGTCTCGTCCCTCAGCCGAGCGATCTGCCTGCGAGTGGCCGCGCACGCTTGCCGCCGTCGCCGCCTGCTGGCCATACATCGGCCTCAGTATTCCCTAATCGCGTGCCCTGGATTGTCCACATCGATTGGAACAGTACAGGACGAATGATCGAGTGTATCCAGGATTCTCGCCATCACGTCGTGGTTAGAAAGAGGCGTGCTCATATTATGCCCGTGCACTTAGGCTCGAGATCTCCTGGAGATTGAGGGCGGGCACGGCTGGCAGAGTCCCCTGGGCTGGGATTGACCATAACAGCCGCCTGAGCCGCAATACCAGAACTCCTACGGAGGAGGAGGAGGAGGAGGAGCAGCAGCATGAGAAGGAGGACGACGAAGGATCGAGTAAGATGTCGAGGATCGAAGAGGAGGATGCTCGAGGAGGAGGCTCGAAGAGGAGGAGGAGGAGGAGGAGGAGGAGGAGGAGGAGGAGGAGGAGGACGAGGACGAGGACGAAGACGAAGACGAGGAGGACGAGGGGGGACGACGGTCCGGCCGCGGCCCGCGGAGGCTGCCGGCCTCTCGCGGCGCCGAAGGGCGCCCACGGGCCCGTCGATGGCCGCGCCTCTTGGGGGGCCCAGGCGCGGCGGCAGCTCTCCTCATCGTCATCCACAGCCTTCTCCTCGCCCCTTCTCCTCCTTCAGGGGGGGGGGGCCATTTGAGACACACGTGGTCGGCCTTCGGGGGACCCTTTCGTCGCCACGGCTGGACGCAGCTCGGAAGCCTGGTGCGTTGGGACCCCTGGAGGTGTCTGTGGACCGATTCTCCGCCTCCGCCTCCGCCTCCATCTTATGATCCCCCACCCCTTCTCGTCCTCCTCCTCCTCGTCCTCCTCCTCTCCTCCTCCTCCTCCTCCTCCTCCTCCTCCTCCTGCTTCCTCCTCCTCCTCATCCTCCTCCTCCTCCTCCTCCTCCTCGTCCTCCTACTTCCTACTCCTCCTCCCTGTCGCAGGGCGCTCTGTGGATGGTGGATGCAAGTGTCGTCGGAGAGCTGCCCCCCTCCCGCCCTCCGAGGCCGCTGCTGCTCTTCGTCGTCGGCGCCATCGCGGCGCGGCTGGGACGGGGGGCCCCTCCGCTCGCGTCCCCGAGCGGGGGCTACGACGAGGAGCAGGCTCCAGCCCGGGGAAGGGAGGGTTCCCAGGGGCATCGGGGGCGGCAAAGAGGGGGGTGGTGACTAGGGGGGGGTGGATATCATGGCGGGGGCCATGATATTTCCCCTGATTTTTTATAGCGGCTCTTCTTATTTCATTACGTCTCTGGCCCCCCCCGCTGGGCCGCGCACATGCCGCCGGTCATGATTTGCACCCCCCCCCTCTTGGACACCCCCGTCTTGGCCGCTCCCGAGGCAACGCTGGGGGAAATCAGGCTTACACAGTGACGCGTCGAACCCCAATCGCCCATCCATCGCCGATGGAGGTCTGGTACGGCAGGTTCGCGTCGTCCCGCCTGGCGGCGTTCAGCGCTGAACGCCGCCAGCGACCCGGAGTCGGTCGGTGCTGCGCGATCTGACGTTTCGGAAACGGTTGACCGTTCAAGGTTGAACGATTCCCGCGGCGCCGGGAACCAATGCAAGGGTCGACGCGACAAGATCTCGCGGTAATCTGTTCAGGGAAGGACGTATTGAACCCCAATCACCAATCCATCGCCGATAGGTGTCTGATGCGGTCGGACCGAGATATATGAACGAGGTCAGCTCGGGGAGGGTAACCGAAAGTTCTTCGCGGTTTTTAGACGTTCTGTTGCATCATGGGGGGAGGGGGGACGTCCTCGAATATGTTTCAACTTTGCCAGGGGAGGGTCTCATGTTCTTGAAGGATATTCTTCTGTCCTAAGTCAGTCCCGCTACACATGGGGCCAGGCAGACCTCCAAGGATGGCGAGGATTTCGCCATCATGATGCTCATTCGTGTCGGCATGCCTCCGTTCGAGCTGCCTAATATATATATATATATATATATATATATAGGTGTGTATTGCCAGGCCACTTGAGATGTTCGCCTGCGTGGGCCCAAGAGCGGCAGCCATGCTGGAGGAGCGAGGGCACATATGTGGAGCCCTTTTTGGAGCAGCTGCGATGCGTGTGAATGTTTCGACGCGACAGCTGTCGACGTCGAGAGCGGCAGAACCACGTGGTGGGAAAAGAAGGCGGAGGCAGGGGCTTTGCAGCATGGAGTTTCGCAGACGCACACCGATTGAATCCGAGGCTTTGCCTGTCTTGGCCAGGAGCCCTGTCGCCAGGCAGCCGACCTCGAGGTTTCCTGTCAGATAGCTCCAAGGACGGTCAGCCCGATACTGTCGGCCTCGGGCAGGAAGGGCAGGAGCCCGTGCCTGAGCCTCAGGAGTCCCCTGAGGCTGACGGGCTGCAGCTTGCGTGCCTGGACGTGGAGGTTGGGGTGGAGGTTGGTGTCAAGCTAGCCAGCTCGAGCGAGTCAAGCATGGCATGCCCATTCCCACCCGCCCTCCCACAACATAAGAAACAGTGATGGCACAACTGGGGGTTGCGCGGGCATTTCAGTGCGAGTGGGGGATACCCCAGGACACCGCATTGACGTCCGCGCGGGATGCGCGCCGCGTCCCATTCCCGCCACGCATTTCGCAATGTCGACGACAAGATTGGCCATGTTGAAAGGGGGGTGGCCACGGGGACCGCGGGGACGAAGACGCTTCGCCCCTGCTTCTCTGGCCTGAGGTGGCCCCGTCTGCCTCGTTCCTGCGGGCCCACGGCCTCTTGAAGCGCAAGGTCGACACCCCCAAGGCTCGGGGGCTCTGGCTCACGTGTTGCTATCGCCGTGGTGCGCATGGTGTCGGCTTCGGGCCAGGGCCAGCGGCGCGAGGGACCTGCAGAGGCCGTCCCGCGAGCGCTGGCACCGCGAGCCGGCCGAGGCGAGTCAAGATTGGGCGCCGCCCGCACCATCGCCACTCGCCCGAGGACCTGACTGAGCCTTCCTGGGCCGATGCATGCTGAGGGCAGGGAGGGCGAGTCAAGATTGGCCGCCACCCGCACCATCGCCACCTGACTGAGCCTTCCTGGGCCGAGGCATGCCGAGGGCAGGGAGGCCTTGGGTCAGGCAACGCCTGCCGTCGCCGAGCTGTCTCAGTTTGCGAGGCGGGGCGTGCCGCCCCAGATGCTGTTCCCAGGGCCGGGCCATGCCGGGCAGGACGTGGCCCTCGCTGCGTCCAGTGTGCGGCGCGAGGACCTCGAGCGCTCGTCGAGGCTCTCGGCCAGACGTCCAGGCGGGGCGGGCCCGACGTGGAGCCGGACTCGGCCGCGTCGGACAACGAGGTTTCCTTACTGCATCCGATTGGGTCCAGCCCGGTCCACAACAGGAGGAGGAGGAGGAGGAGGAGGAGGAGGAGGAGGAGCAGCAGGAGGAGGAGAAGGAGAAGGAGGAGGAGGAGGAGGAGGAGGAGGAGGAGGAGGAGAAGGAGAAGGAGGAGGAGAAGGAGGAGGAGGAGAAGGAGAAGGGAGAAGGAGAAGAAGGAGGAGGAGGAGGGGGAGGAGAGGAGAGGAGGAGGAGAGGAGGAGGAGAAGGAGGAGGAGCCCCCTCCCTCGAGCTCCTCGCTCCCACGGCCGGATCCGCCCTGGATCTTGGCCAGGCCTGGGCCGGGCGCGAGAAGGCTCAAGGCCGGGGGGGGAGCAGTTGGCTTGGGCCCAGCGTGGACAAGAGCCCGCCCCCCTCGTCGTGATCTGCCTCCTCCTGACCTTCTGGCCACCCTGCCCTCTCCTCCTCCTCCTCCTCCCTCCTCCTCCTCCTCCTCTCCTCCTTCCCCTCCTCCTCCTCCTCCTCCCCCCTCCTCCTCCTCCTCCTCCTCCTCCTCCTCCTCCTCCTCCTCCTCCTCCTCCTTCTCCTCCTCCCTTCCTCCTCCTCCTCCTCCTCCTCCTCCTCCTCCCCCTCCTCATCCTCCCCCCCCTCCTCCTCCTCCTCCCTCCTCCTCCTCCTCCTCCTCCCCTCCTCCTCCTCCTCCTCCTCCTCCTCCTCCTCCCCCTCCTCCTCCTCCTCCTCCCCGCCTTCTCCCTCCATCTCCCGCTCCAGAAGCAACATCGGCACACACACACACATGCGCTCTTGGACATCCGCGCGTATTTTCCTAAATCGGCGCGGGACCCCCTGGCGGTGCCTCTGGAGCCGCCCCTTCCTTCCTTCTTCCTTCTTGAGCGCCTCATGGAGGGCAGCTTGGGAGAGGGAGGGTACCACAGGCCCGCGTCGTGCCGACGCGGCAGCGACCCCCCGGGCGGGCTCTGAAGGTGGAGCGCCACTGGTGGTCAAGAATCGGCCGACATCGAGCTGTCCCTTAGTGGGCCCTGGAAACGACAGGGCCGTTTTTTTACCGGTTCCGTTTTGCCGTTTTTTTGCCGGTTCCAACGCCGCTTTTTTAACGGTTCCGTCGCCGTTGTTTGACCGGTTCCGGCTCCGGTTCCAATCCTGGAGCCGTTTTTTTGCCGTTTCCGGTCGCCGTTTTTTTGCCGTTTCCATCTTCAAGAGACATTTTTGTTGGAAACTATGAAAAAACGGCCGTGCCGTTTCCGGGGCCCACAAAGAGCTGTCCTCATGCGCGATCGGACGGCCAGGTTGAGCAGTTCACGCGGCGTCAAAAGCCAACGCATGAACCCACTGTACAGTCGGGGCCCTGAAGAGGGAACCCTTTTGGTTGGGGAGGGGCTCCGCGTTCCTGAAGTGTTTCACAGCTTGCCTCAGGTTTTCCTTCTGTTCTCGATGGGAAATCGAAGGTTAACTTATGGAAAAAAGGGGCCTCGTTCCTTATTGAGGGTTCCTTAGGTCAACGCCCCGACCGCATTTGAGAAGCGCATGGGGGTCAGATTCGGATCGGACGAGAGGGGAGCACCGGGACACGGCCCAGCCGCGGAGCGCTTTGCCCGATGCACTGGCGCCTCCGGTGCTGGGAGAGCCAGCCGTGTGCGCGGAGTCGCTAACCCCTCCCCCTTCTCGTCCGACCCGGCAGCTGCAGGTGAGTCCGAGAGGAAACAAAAAGCGCACACAGACACCATCATAATCGCCGACCCCCAGAACATATGCGAAAATATGGGAAGTGGGGGGGAAGACAGAAACCCCAAAAATATGAAGCAAAAAATATGGGGAATCCTTTTATTTGTGTGTATTTATTTGTGTGCCCTGGGGCCCCTGCAGTGAGGGGCGGCCGCCGGCCGCAGAGGCGGCCGCCAGCGATCGGCCGCAGCGGCGGTCTCGGCGGCCGCCGCGGCCGCGCCGCGGCGGCGCGTGCTGCGCGGAGGGCTCGGGAGGTGGAGGTCGAGAGTGAAGGGGCCCAAGGACACGCAAATAATTACACACAAATGAAAGGATTCCCGACGGGGCGGGGCGGGGCGGGCCCGACGTGGAGCCGGACTCGGCCGCGTCGGACGACGAGGTTTCCTTACTGCCTCCGATGGGGCCCAGCCCGATCCACAACAGTCATGAGGGGAAGAAACACACAGACACAATTAATCGTCAATCCCCAGGGAAATATGGAAACATCTGGGAAGTGGGGGGGAGGACGAAAACCTAGAAAATGCAAGAGAATATGGGGACTCAGTTTATTTGTGTGTATTTATTTGTGTGTCCCAGGGCCCCTTCAGGAAGGCTCGGGAGGTGGAGGTCGAGAGAGAAGGGGCCCAAGGCCACACAAATAAATACACACAAATGAAAGGATTCCCCATATTTTTCCATACTGTTGGGGCTTCTGTCCTCTCCCCCCCACTTCCCATATTTTCCCATATTTTCGGGGGGTCGACGATTAATTGTGTCTGTGTGTTTTTCTCCCTCCTGGGAGAGGACGTCTCCAGGGTCCGACGTCGGTGCGGTGTTTTGGGGCCCCCAGCCCAAGTCTTGCCCTGTGGGGCCCCGCAGTGGCACGGCCGTCGCGCGGGCCTCCGACGGCTGCGGGCTCAGAGGGGTTGGCCGTGCGGAGTTCTGTCGGGGCGTTGCAGGTTGTCGAGGTCGTTGTCGTCGTGGTCGTCGCCGTCATCGTTGCCGCCGTGGTCGTCGTTGCCGCCGCCGCCGTCGTCGTCATCGTCGTTGTCGTCGTCGCCGTCTTGATCGTCGACGTCGTCGTCGTCCTCCTCGTCTTGGTAGTCGCCGTCGTCGTCGTCGTCGCCTTCGTCGTCGTCGTCGTCATGGTCGTCGTCGTTGTTGTCTTGGTAGTCGCCGCAGTCGTCGCCACCGTCGCCCCACCAGGCCTTGGAGTACGCGTACATGTCTACGGCGGCCTACTGCGGCATGCCGCACTCCTCCCGGCAGGCCCTGGAGCAGTGGCGGTGCGGTCTCGCCTGCGACAAGGCGGCGGGGTGCTGACTCTGGGGGGTGGCGGCGGCCCAGACCTCCGACGTCGTGATTCGTTCACCGCCAGGCCCCTGGATTTCTCAACACCTTCCCTTTGGCAGGCGTCGTCGTCGCTTGTCGTTCCGAGCAGTCTCTCGTACAGCGCCAGGGCCTCGTCACGGCCCATGAGGCCGAAGTCGCCCGTTGCACCCCGCCGCAGGGCCATCTGCCACGTTGTGTGCCGTGTCTTGTCCCCGGCCCCCGCAGGTCACCAATTCGTCCCTGGCTTCTGTGAATGCACCATGGCGCCATACGTTGCGACACAGGCTGCGCCAGAGTCGGCGTACCATTGCGCCAGAAGTTGCGCCAGTCCGTCCGTTGCCCATCAGATCGTCCGCTGCTTCAGTGGATTTGCCACTGCGCAATAGGTTGAGACATAGGTTGCGCCAGACCCCCCGCAATCCACTCGATCGCCCGCTGCCTCAGTGGGTGTACCATCGCGCGCGCAAGACACCCCATCAATCCACCCAATCCTCCCTTGCCTCTTTCCGTAGTTTGTGTGGCCCAATACCCGTTGCCTGAAGTGTTCAATCAATCGGCTCTGACGTCGGCTGTTTCTGTTCAAAGGTGCTTGCAGGAGGATATTCAGGACAGTGTCGCATGTTAGTCACTCTCTTGCCGTATGCGCAAGGGTAGCCACGCGGGGCGGCTGGCCGTCTTCGCGACAGCCACGGACAGTAAGAGCAGTCCGAGCACGACAAGCGCAGCGAGGGATTCGTTGACCCTTGATGAGCTGAGGAGGCGCACGAGACGATCCGCATGTCGAAATATGTGGAGGTCTCAGCGTGCACCTGCGAGGTCATTAGGTTGTGGAACTGTGGGCAGAAGTGCGACGATCCAGTAGCTGAAGTGGGGAACCAGCGCCTTGTTTGTCCCATAGGTTTCTTCGCCCAGTTTGCGGCTATCGTGCCCGCTTGCCACACGCAGCCGGGGCCACGGCGAAGACGATGCGTCGTCGCGTTTCCTGTGGCGATCGGCGGTTCAAGGATGGGATCTGGTGGGATGGGGCCCTTGATTCCTGAGGTTAGGAAAGGGCTCAGAACGTGAATTACCTACCCCGCTTTCGCTTCCAGGCAAAACCAAGCCATACCACGCGCCTCCTTGTCAAGCGGCCTGACCAGTACAGGCTGCAGTTTGGCCTCGTTTGGTATCTCTTGGAAGCGAAGGTGGTCAAAAGCGAGGTAGGTTTGTTTTTTCCTAGGAAAGGGCTTCCAGGTTGAGCTTGCATTGTGCACCGCTCGCCCAATGGCCTCACGTCTCGGGGCCCCATCTCTGAAGTGCCACAGAAGAGGCTCGCAAGCGGGGTCAGATTTCAATCGCCCAGCAAAGCCTCGAGCGTCAAGCCATCGACCGCCGTCGGCCCCGGCACCCCGATCCCGTGGCAGATCGGGAGCGAAGCAAAGTCGCACGTACGCGTGCGTACATGAATTCACATCGTTATCTGTTTCTTTCTGTTTTTTGTTTTTGTTTGCTGTTCTCTCTCTCTCTCTCTCTCTCTCCCGAGAGAAGAGAGAGAAGTGTATATATATAACAATAACAAAAAGGGGGTAGAGCATGGCGTGGGCGTCCGTGTTCCTTCTCTCTCTCTCTTGTTTTCTTTCTCTCTCTCTCTCTCTCTCTTTCTCGGTCTCCCGAGAGAGAGAGAGAGGGACAGAGCATGGCGTGGGCGTCCGTGACATGAGGGCGGCCTCGCGATTCTTTGGTACACGTGGCGCGCGGCACGTCCTTCTTGGAGGGCCCCCCCTTGCTGAGGCGGGCCGCGCGAAAGGTGGGGGGGGCACGACGGTCGGCGGACGGCCGCGGGGGGGGGGGGCAAGAAACGTGGGGGGACAGTGGAAACCCATGCCACGAAACACCCCTTGCCTCCAGGGTGCCCTGGGTTTCTTGGGTTTCGAGGGTTTTGCGATGGAAGGCGTGACTTTCCCACACGAAAAGTCAATCGACGTCCTGGGGTCTCTGGGTCGGGTTTCTTGTGGAAGGCTTCTTGTAGACTGGCCTGCACTGGGCGAGCACTGCAGGAAGCTTGTGGAGCCCCAAACCTGGGTAGCGGCGCGCCAGAAAAGGCCTTCCGACAGCCTCTGGAGAGAGCTCTGGAGGCTCCTGGAAGGAGCTTCCGGAGGAGCCGCGCTGTAGAGTTTCCCGGTACACGTATTGGGAAACAGTTCCGATAGGGCTGCCAGAGCACGCTGCCGGCTCGCCGCACCGAGGTGTCTTGCCGGAAGCCAGAACGAGTTCCAGGGCTACCCTGCGCTGCCTGCTTCGAATCTGAAGCAGGGAAATTGCCTTAAAGGTGTCCCAAATCGCCCCGGAGCTGCTGCCACGGGCCCCAAATAGGTGCACGAGAGGCGCACGTCTCTTCCCCCAACGTTCTTTTGCCCCCCTCCTTGGACGAGCACCCGAGGCAGGGAAAGGGTGGGGGTGAGACATCTGCTGCGTGATGCTTGTTTCGGCCTCGCCGCTGAGCGCCTTCTCCTCCCTCGATAAGTTCATGCCTTCTCTCGATTATGTTCGGCCCGGCCGCTAGCGCTGTGAGACGCTTGGCTAACCAGCTGCGTGAGCTGATTCGTTAACCCCACTTACATGCCTGAGTCATACCCCTGCCCATATATTTATATGCCGCCACCTCATCTTGATGATGATGTCGAGGATCCCCTCAGCTTCTGGGAGCAGCCCGACGATTATCCCTTCGACTCTGGGCTGGTCGATCCCAGGCCAGTTGCTCTCCTCGCTCTTCCCGAGGAGTGGCCTGGCGAGGGTGCGACGCTCCTCGCGGGGCGCGGCGTGCGGCCCGCTCCGTGCGATTATAAGAGTCGTTATTAGGCGACCCCCCGGGCTCATTCAGCCCGCACAGGGGTACTTCCGTAGCTGTGCGTGTTGGTTCAGAGAAAAAAAAGCGGCGTCCGCCCCGCCGCGCGCGCGCGACCAGCCGGCCCCCCTCCGACCCTTCGGGCCACGCTAAACTTCGCGGACACGTCCCGACACATTCTCACGCCGTGGAGTATTACGACCCCAGGTTCATTTTTCCCGAGGATAAACTTGAGCAAGGCTTCGAGAAGACGAAGAGGAACAACCGATCAACATGATCAAACATATGCCAATGTCGTCAAAGGGCTGGCAAAATGTTATACGCCTCCCCCCCTCGGGCCCACAAACTTCAGACGCTATGACTTTCTCAGTCCGCGGGCCCAGAAGCCCCCCTCCAGGGGCACCGCCGTGGGTCCACCTGCTCACGCCCCCCACGCGGGCGACGCCTCCGCCCAGAGCAGGCGCTACTTCCCCTCGGGGGCAGTTTGGCGCACCGGGGCCGTCTACGATGGCCCCTGGCGCCCGTCGAAAGCGAGGGGCAGTTACAGACAGTCAGGTGAGTTGGTACGACTCGCGGATTCGGCCCGAAGTCTCAAATCGAACAACGGCACCAGACAGTCGGTCCAGCTAGGCCAGGGGCCGTCGGCCCAGCCAGCTTGGAGAACGGGGTTTCGGCGGCAGGTCGCGGGGCGCAGCGTCGGGCAACCGTAAACGAGTACAGGCCCCCCCGGCAGACGTTGACGAGGGTCCCCGTTCCGGAATGTCAACCTCGCCTCAGGCCTCGCATCGGGGTGCGGATCCGCTACGGATCCGATATGGATCTGAAGCTTGTTGTACGGACCCGATGCGATTTCCATGGTCTTGGGACGTATCCGAATGGTGGGAAAGTAACACGTTTCGCACATATCCGGTCGGACCACTTCGCCTTTTGAACCCACTTGCACGCAGCAGCCTCCCCCCCATCTCGCCCGTGGTAACTCCCGACCGTGCGTGCCTGAGCGCGCTCGCGCCCGCGCGCCCTCTTGAGGTTGAGACCCCGGTCGTGCGTTGAAGCAGTCACGCTCGCAGTCCAAACAAGCCGTATCAACTGCCGACTTTCTGTCTGGAGCGCCAGCTGCGTCGCAAGGTCGCCGTGTGCCATCTCGCGCAAGGCCCGCCTCTGCTCGTCGCCCCGCGTCACGCCGGGATGGGCCACACAGCATCGCCTGAGCTCTGGGCCTTCCGCCCGCCCCGGCAGCGAGGTGCCCGGCATGAGGCGCGTCCGGCAGGTCACCGGGGACCGGGCGGGCACGGACGCGTCCGCGTTCGTGGGCAGGCCCGCGGGGGTGCAAGGATCGGCTGCCCCGGCGCAGGGGCGGAACCGGAAGGGTCGGCGGGCGCGGGTGCCCCCAGGTCGGTCGGGGATTGATCGGAGGCGCGCCCGTGCATTAGCTCTTGGCTTCCCTGCAGCAGAAAGCCCTGCACAGCTTGCGAGGGGGGGGGGGGGCGAAAAAGTGCCCCCCGAACAGATCCCAATACAGAAATGTGTGTTTGTGCACTCTGGAAAATGGGGGCGGCGATTTTGGGCAGCTTCTGTAGGGAGGGTTCGTGGCGTCGGGACCGCCAGAGAGCGCGGCATTTACTTAGCAAGGGGTTATAGTTTCGAAGACGCAACCTTGTTAGAAAGGGTGGGGGCCCAGGCGAGAGTCAGGCGAAGTTTCAAAAAGGGATTGTGGCTTCGGGGCGCGAGTCCGTAACATTTACTACAGATTGTGCGTAGGGACCGCGAGTTGGGCGCAAGTTGCGTAGGAGTGTGGCTTGGGGAGCGCGAGGCGTGTGTGATCTCGGAGGGATTGTAGCGTCCGTCGGGAGCGCGAGTCTGCTGCATTCTGATATATGTCACACCTCCCCCCGCGGGAAGTCAGAGCATGTGATTGGGGGAGGGCGGGCGGCCGCTCTTCGTGCTCCCTTGGGTTTTTCTTGGAGTCTGTCCGCCATGTCAGCAGCGTCCATCGTGCGGCCCCCTGGGACCCTCACCCCCCCCCCTCTCCTCATCCTTCTCCTTGTGAGTCGGGGGGGCAAGGAGGAGGACCAGCAGCAGCAGCAGCAGGAGGCGGAGGAGGTGTAGCAGCAGGAGGAGGTGCCGCTCGCGAGGTGGCCAGCCCGTTTCGCCCCAGGCAGCCTCGCAATTCTGGTCTCTGATATGCCCGAGGTGGTCCAGCCCGTGTTTCGGTTGAGATTTCCTCGCACCTCTACGCTCAGATCTGCTCTGACATGAAGTGGGCTGCCCCGTTTCGCCTGGGACATCTTCGCAACTCTAGGCTCAGATATGGCCGTGACTTCCTGGGAGCCCGGTGGCCTCCCAGGAGGCCTGGGCTGGGGGCCCCAAGACAACCGAAAGGGGTTATCAAAAAGCTCGAGGTGTGAATTCGGCGCGCGCTGACAAGATTCACACCGTCGATCTGTGAATCCGGCGCCGGTAATACGGATGCCCCACCCTCGATCTGTGGATTCTGCGCGTGTGCACCCGACGACCCCAGGACCATCTGCGGACAGCATGCGTGTCCGCAGATTGTCCTGTGGGCGCACCCCCTGTCCGCAGATTGTGCGCCCGCAGGCCCAGGCAATCTGTCCGCACTTGACAGTACAATCTGTGGGCCAGGGACACCTGTCCACACTTGACTGTACAATCTGCGGACGGCCTCCTAAAAAATGTTGTCCGCACTTTACAGCACAATCTGTAGATTCGGTCACCGTACACGACCGCTGCTCGACTATCGGATGGTACCCCGACCTCGGTGCTTAGTCCGGGGATGGGGCCCGGGTGGGGACCATGTGTTGGCACATGACAGTACGAAATGTGGACTGCCTCGTTCCATCGCCATTTTGGCTCAAGACGCTTTGGTTCAGCCCGCCCCCGCCGGCACAGGCAGCGGCTTCTTTGCTTCAATCGGCCCGAAACCTCAACCGCGATGGCCCGCCTGGTGCTCGCGGCCGCCGCACTCCTGCAGGCCACCGCTGTCCCCACTGGGTGCGGACATATGTTCAGCTACTGAGATTCTGTCGGCCCCGTCAGCTGTGACATCGGATGCTGGCGGGAAGTTGATGAGAACTCGAGGTGCGGCGAATCGGATAATTGTTGCCTCTGGTTCATGGATAGGGTCGCGGAGATATCGAACGCCCGCGATGGGAAGGAGGCCAAGGAGGTCGTCGCGTCCGATTCCAACGACCCAGATGCAGTGAAGGACATGATCTGTGAGCAGGCGCTCGGCGACCTGTACAAGGAGTGCCCCCACTGCAAGGGCGGCGAGGAGAAGTGCGCCCTCGGCGACTGGAATCGTGAAACCCAGAAAACCAGGTTGCATTCCGTGATGGACGGCCTGCCGTTGGCAGGGCAGCGGTCTCTCGCGAGCGTTGCGACGATCGGCCTGGGAGCGATCGGGGGAGCCGCGGTGCTCGCAGGTGCCGCGTTGGCCTTCAGGCGCTGTGGCGCCCCCTCCGCGCCGGTGGATATCTCCGCGAACGAGGCCGCAGGGGAGGGCCAGCGCGCCCCGATCATGGCCTCGCAGTCCTGATCAGCCCCAGGGCACTCTGCCGGGGCGCGGCCGATGACCGAGCGCCGCGAGATCCTGGGCCTCGGACCCTGGCGGCGCTCAAAGCAAGCGCCGCCCGTAGCTGAATCTTCTGGCCCGGGGCCCCAAGAAGAACTTTGGGGGCACATCCGAGGGAAGCGGTGCTGTGGCGCCGCCTGGAGCGCAAAACGGAGCCCAATGTTCTGGGGGCCCGCGGGAGCCTGGGCATCCCCCTCGTTTTATAATTACTTTGAGCTTGAAGTTCCGCTGGGCGCGAGGAAGCTTCGCTCCATTTTTCCACCCTCTGCTTTTAGCTTTCGGCGTTGGAAGCAACTATGGGCGCGAGGAAGCTTCGCTTCATTTCCTTTGGGGACACGGCTCCCACATTTCTGCCCGGGTCAGAAAATAAGGTATGGTTAGGCGACTTCGGTTTTCTTCCAATTCAGTTTGCGCTTGCGCTCTTGCGAAGTCTTAAAAATGTGGACTGCCTCGCACACGAACGGCAACGCACAGCACCGCGCGGCGCTGGAAACATCAGGGAACATGAGGGGGGGAGGGCGAGAGAACGAGAAGGGCTGGATTTCAGAGGGCCCAAACAAGCCTCCAAGAAGGCTCCAAGGTATCCCCAGGAACCTCGATTCGAGGTGGGGAAACGCGGCCGCATTCCCCTACCTTTGTAAGGCCCTCAAGGGAGTGTCTTGGGGCACCCTCGGGTCCTTCACGGGGTCCTTCTGAGAGCCCGGCCGACAGCCGCCGAGAGCGAGGGCACGTATGAGCAGCATGTTGCGCATGCCGACGCCAGCGCAACGTCGGACTGGTGTCCATATCCTTCTTGTTGACCTCATCCTCCTCCTTGTCCTCATTCTCACCTCCACCTCACTCCTCGCGTTCGTCCTCCTCGCTGCGCCAAAGGAGTCCAATGCAGCCCAACAAGGCCTGCGCACCATCAGGGACGTATGTCAGACGCCCTGCTTCCCTCCTTCCCCATCCTTCCTCATTGTTGCCCCTTCCCGTGGGGTCATTTCACGTGAGGGATACCGCCCCACAGTCGCAGAAACCATGACACCATTCAGGGCGTCGATGATATGCCAAATTACGGGCGATGCTGGCGCCCTTAAGTTCGGCAATGCTTGAGTGCACGCACCATGGCAATGACATCGAGATTGTATCATCGCTGTGAAATCCAATGCTATGCAATGCCAATGCTCTGCGAAACCCGATTGCCCATATCAGGGCCCAGAAAACTAAGTTTTTGATAATGCAATCGGCGTGCAAGTGTCGTGTTTTCTGTTGTTGCAGACGACATGCTCAGGGCTGCAATCCGCAGATTGGCAGAATCTGGGGGCAGTTGTGTCGGCCGCCATATAACGGCTCTAGAGACGGCCCCAGCAACGACCCAAGCAGCCCCCCCTTCGCGCGGACTCCAATCGCACCAGCAGTGGAATTGGAAAAGATCGGAGGCGAGGGGGTGAGGTCGCCGTGGAATGGGTCCTGGAATGGGGAGCCCCCCGCCGGGAGATCGATGTCGGCGTCGTGTTCGTGCCGTGCGTGCGGGCGGGAAGCAGTTGCAGTCGGGGCGTTGAAGAAGGAACCTTTTTCGTTGGGGAGGGGCTCCGCGTTCCGTAACTGTTTCGCAGTTTGCCTCAGGTATTCCTTATGTTTTCGATCGGAAATCGAAGGTTAACTCATGGAAAAGTCGTTCCTTATTTCGGGTTCTTTAGGTCAAGCCCCCGACTGTACGTGGGCGGGCGGGGGGAAATGCACCCTCCTCTGGCTGTGGCGCCGCTGGGCTCAATGCCCTCCCCCCGTGGGCGGGGCGGCGGTGGCCATGGGGTGTGCCGCCGTGGTTTCCCGCGCCGGGGTCTCGTCGGTGTCCCGTCGGCGCCCTTGTCGGTGCCCCGGGGGTGCCCCGCCGGTGCCCCGTTGCGAGACCGATCTTGCGATCGATCGTGAGAGCGCTACTGAGATCCATCGTGGAATCGGTTGTCGGATCTATACTGGCTTGATTTAGGGCGGATTTAGGTTGAGTCGGTTGAGTGTTTTTAGGTTTTTGATGCCGACGACGATTGTAATGATGGTGGTTATCAAATCGTAGTGTTGATGGTGGTGGCGATGGTGATGGTGATGATGGTGGTGCTCATCACATCCAGAATCACCATCATCACCATCACCGTCATCACCATCACAACCGCCCTCACCATACCATCATCACCATCCCCATCATCATCATAATCATCATCACTATCCAGACCATCAGCATGTTCCAGTATGTTAGAGCTCCGTGGGAGCTCTAACATGGCTTGTCAGAGCTCCCACGGAGCTCTAACATGGTGGAGGCTCTAACATGCTACGTTAGAGCTCCCAGGGAGCTCTAACATAGCAAGTTAGATTATGTTAGAGCTCCTGGGAGCTGTATGTTAGAGCTCGGAGCTCTAACATAGCTAACATCGTATGTGTTAGAGCTCCGTGGGAGCTCTAACATGCCATGTTAGAACTCCCAGGGGGGGGGGGGCTCTAACATAGCAAGTTAGAGTATGTTAGAGCTCCCAGGGAGCTCTATCATGCTATGTTAGAACTCCCAGGGAGCTCTAACATACTGGAACATGCTATGTTAGAGCTCCGTTGTAGCTCTAACATGCCATCTTAGAGCTCCCACGGAGCTCTAACATACCAGGTTAGAGCCCCCAGGGAGTTCTAACATACT